TCTGAACAGGTAGCAGCCTCTCTGCAAGAGTGGGATGTTTGAAACAATTGTATCAGATAATGGTAAAGGATCTCCTGTAAGCTTTTCTTAACAGGCAGACTTTACTCAACCCATTTAAAAGGCTGATTAACCTTAGTATGTATATGAATGATTTAAGATTTATCTTTCATCTACAATAGAAATAGAATGATTCATAATAGATTGTTTTCTCTAACGCTCTAATACAATGCAACGTTTGTCTTTTTAATTTGTTTGTTTTGATAACTTATATCTTTCACAGACTCAAAGGGCTGAATAAAATGGGAACTACACCTGTTTGTAGATTACTTTAGTTTGACTGTAACTGAAATGAAATATCTTGTCTGGCACTATATAATCAATTAATCCAGGACGGCAAGTCTACAGGATGGGACATTGAAATACCCTAGAACAAAAGGCAATGTGTTATTCAAGTTGGTAATCAATTTTTAAAATGTGCAGGGATGGTTTCTGAGCTGCTGGGATAAGAGTATTTGAACACAAAAACCTCTATTCCTCTACACAGAGATGTGTGGGTTTTTCCCCACTGACCAGTTCTCTGATACCAGCTGGGTGTCCTAAATTCGATTGAATTCTGATACTATCTACCTGTGGTTAGCACAGACTCCACAGGTTAAGGGCTCAGTCCCACAAGACTGCCACCCCCCATTTCAGATACCTATCGCAAGTTCAGGTTGTCACTTGTGTGTCTGATCAACCAGTTATAAATTGGAGGCTCCCATAACTCCCTTCTCAGGTTTGATAATTTGCTAGAATGACTCCCTGAATTCAGGAAAACAGGTTACTTACTAGATTATCAGTTTATTATAAAAGGATGCAACTCAGAAACAGCCAGATGGAAGAGATGCATAGGGCAAAGTATGTGGGGAGGAGCTCAGAGCTTTGATGTCCTCTCCAGGTGGACAACCCTCCTAGCACCTCCATGTGTTCACCAGCTTGAAAGCTCTCTGAACCCCCTAGTTAAGGGATTTTTATGGAGGCCTCATCTAATAGGCATGCTTGGTTATTTTTTTTAATTGAAGTATAGTTGATTTAGTATAGTTTCTGTTGTTTGGTTTCTGGTGTATAGCAAAGTAATTCATTTATACATATATGTACATATTCTTTTTCATACTCTTTTCCATTAAGATTTATTACAGGATATTGAATATAGTTCCCTGTGCTATACAGTAGGAGCTTGTTGTTTATTTTATATATAGTAGTTTGTATCTGCTAATCCCAAACTCCTAATTTATCCCTCCTCCACCCCATTTCCCCTTTGGTAGCCAAAAGTTTGTTCTCTGTGTCTGTGAGTCTGTTTCTGTTTCATAAATAAGTTCATTTGTGTCATATTTTAGATTCCATATATAAGTGATATCATATGGTACTTATCTTTCTCTTTCTGACTTACTTCACTTAGTATGATAATCTCTAGGTTCATCCATGTTGCTGCATATGGCATTATTTCATTCTTTTTAATGGCTGAGAAGTGTTCCATTGTGTATATACACCGCATCTTCTTTATTCATTCATCTGTTGATGGATATTTAGGTTGCTTCCATGTATTGGCTATTGTAAATAGTTAGGCATGCTTGGTTATTAACTCAATCTCCAGCACTTCTCCAAAGGATGAAAGTAGGGCAGTAGCTGGGGGGCTGAAATTTTCAAGCTTCTAATCATAACCTTCTTTCTGGTGACCAGGCCCCATTCTGAAGCTATCCAGGAGCCCACCAAAAGTTCCCTCAATAGAACATAAGATGCTCCTATCATCCAGGAAATTCCAAGGGATTTAGGAGCTCTGTGACAAGAACCAGGTCAAAGACCAAATATTAGAACAAAAGATGCTCCTAGCACTTTTATCTCTCAGGAAATTACAAAGGTTTTAGGAGCTCTGGCCAGGAGCCTGGAATAAAGACATATATATATATATATATATAAAAATATATATATAATGTATTTCTTATTATAACAAAATATCACAGTACCTATATGGGGGTCTCTCAGACACGTGGCATAACAACACTGGGCATCATTATTTTACAAGTCCTGGCACTAATTATTAAGCCAGACAGACACCAGCCCCTTCTCCCACTTTTGGAGGAAGGGAGGAGAAAGGGCCCACACAGCCATAATTCTCAAGAGAAACAAAGGGCAGTGTCGAACACCCAGTTGCTAGGCTGATCAGCACCTGAGCGGAGGCTGTGAAGGTTGAAGATGTCCTTCAGGTAATTCCAAAATGCCCACCCCCATTGAGAATCACGTATTTATTTATTTATTGCCTCACAGCTTGCAGGATCTTAGTTCCCAGACCAGGGATGGAATCCAGCCCCAGCAGTGAAAGCGCTGAGTCCTAACCACTGGACCACCAGGGAATTCCCTGATTTATACTTTAAAAAATTAATTTTCACACTGAAACATGCACAATAGTTCAGATATCTTCTAAATCTTGAAAGGTTATATTAGCATAGGCACAGCATTAATAATGATGACACTTTCTCCCACTTTGAAATACTAAAAATAGTTAAAATTAGAGTTCTAGGAAGCCCAGTAATTTTACCTTTTTGGTCTTTCCACTGGTGGCTGTCACCAGGTGCCTCATAGGGAAATCCAGAGCCACTCAATACACTTACTGAGCTTGCAAAATCAGGGATGTCATCCATTTGTATTTCTTGTAAAATAAGAATGTATTTCTGTATAGTAACTAGCTGGTTAATTTTACTTGTAGGCCAGGAAATAAAATGAATAAACAAATGTGATGTGGTAACAAAATTAATTAAATATTTGGGAAATCAAATCCTAGTCTCCATGACAGATGATAATAATCACTACTATACTAATGAGGAAGGATACGGGGCATTTCATCAAAGTTGGTTATCTCCTTCAACTGCCTGGGTCTACCCTGGGTCCAGCTAGCTACAGACATTGATTGCTCTGGTCCAGTTAGCTCCCAGGCTACCAGCAGCATCCAGTCCCCTCCAGAAAGGAGAGAGTGAGAGACCAACATAGAAGTGGCACATGGTGGAAATGCCAGAAACACTGTCGGCTCTCCACCCCTCCCCCACCCAAACCCATTTGCTCCCCGCAGGGTTGTGGTAGGTGGTCATAGAATGAGGAGGCTGCACTGCTGTGGTCTGGGAGGAGCAGAGGCTAGGTGTGGCCTAGTGGAAGCAACGGGTCAGGGAAAATCCAACCACGTGCTCTGGCGAGATGCATGCCCTGTTCAGCTCCTGCCTGAGCAAAGGGGAATGAGGTGATCGCAAAGAACGGACTAGGAAGAAGCCGTGGACTTCTATCCGAAATGCAAAGAAAATCAAAAAGCAATCAATTGGGCACAGGGGCCAGCTGGACGCTTGAACCGGAGATGCAGCGTGGGCGTTCTTTGCCTGCTTTGATCAAGGCCCAGAACAATGGAAATGTTGATGGCACAGTATCAGAAGCTTAGTATTAAGAAGGAAACAAAATGGATAACAAAAGCAAGACAAACTCCAGCTGGGAAGTTTGAGAAAGAAAGTCTTAATAACTAAAATACAAATGTATACCAGGAAACCCATCTTACCTTCTGGTACCAGGATCAAAATTATGGGGCCCAGTATAAAATGAAAATGTGAGTCCCCTGTTCAGAAAACAGCAAGAAAAGTGCTGTTCAAGGTAGTGAAATATAACACTTTTTCCTTTTTTTTCTGTGGTCTCTCTCTCTCTCGACTTGTTATGGTGTTTTTTATTTGCTATTTAATGTCATTCTATGTAAAGAAAAATTAAGAATTTAAATAGCATGAATTTTACTTGTTATCTTTGTATTGTGCAATGCCAGTTTTAAATGTTGACCAAGTTCTCACTATTGCCCATTTCTTATCCTCTGCTTTATCTTGACCTAACTTTAGTCAGGCTTCTTTACTCCCCACAGGTCCTTAAACTTTGGATTGCCCCTGAGATTGAACAAGCGCTAAAATGCAGAATATGTCCCTTTCACCAGCTTATCCTGAGAATCAGTTGGCCAAAGGGAGACACATTTCCCGGGAAACTGCTCCGATCATGCCATCTATTCACTCTCCATTGATTCCTCAACTTCCCCTTAAAAGTTTCCGGGAAGCTCTGCTTACCCCTCCCTCTGAAAGAAACACCTTTTTCTGTTTGATTTTGAGATGCTTGCAGATTTCTGAGATTGGAACATTCTCCCTATCGCAATGGTTTTTTTGAAAAGTCTTTCATTATCTAAGTCTAGATTTGTTTTTATTTGACAATGAAAATATAAAAGCATTTAATTCATATGCTGAATCACTGAAATGACACAATCCGTATTTCATAGCTCCTATGTGCACATGAATTTTTGTCCCTACCAGAACAGTGGAAATGCTGCACAGGACTAACTCAGCTGCTTTTACTTTACTTCTTGATACACACATACTACCAGCATTTTCTATCTTTGGCTTGCTGATAAGTAAGGACTGAAAGGAAAAGGAACTATGGGTTGTTCTGTCTTTCTCTTTTCTTCTATGTCATCGTTTTCAGCATAAGTGGTTGGCTAATTCAGGGAAGTGATATGATAGGATTCCCTGGTCGTTTGTTTTTCTTAGAATGTCGCTACCTTTTTGCGTCTGAAGCAAGTTCTGCTTTGAAGGGAAAGTGCGGCCTCTGAGGCAAGCAGGTCCCTATTCAGTCATAGAGGCAATGTACTTACCTTATACTACTCATCTTAGGACCCACTGCATAGTGGGTCCATCCGGAATTCTGTGTTCATCAAGCATAGCAAGTGCTATATACAAATGGGTGACAAGGAAGGCAGGTAAGAATGTTGCTGGTATCTGCTTATCCAGCAGGCTCCATTGTTCCATCGGACTCCAGTTACAAAACGCTCGGTCAAAGATAAAATTATTTAAAATTTCAGGGACATTTTTCAGGCCTCCCTAAAAGTTTCTAATATTTGTTTGAATCATTCCCAAGATCTTTTTCTAGAAGGTGCTGTCTGTCCTTTTTAGTGCCCTTCCCTGGTGGTCTAGTGGTTAGGACTTGGCACTTTTACTGCCACAGCCCGGACTCGATTCCCGGTCAGGGAAGCTAGTTCTGTTTCTGATCACTCACATTCTATTGTTGCTATGGCTGCTGCGGCTTCAATGTCTGAGTCTTTACCGAGGCTTGCTTGCCTACACCCCAAGTCATCCGGTCTTGAGGTATATATTTACGAAGGGAACAAGGTGACTGTAAAAAATGAAAAATTCCTCTGTGCAGATTCGAACTTGCTTACATGTGCCTCACCACACTGGGAATTACTGATTTCTGTGGCTTGTCGTCACCCACCCTCACCGTGCAATATAAGTAATTTCTAAATGAAATGAGTGAGTTATTGCAAATGGTTTATAAATCTATTAAGGCTTGATTGGCATAGGCACAGTTTTAGTAATGGATGTAATCCCCCCGCACCCCCCGCCCCCAGCCAGTTCACTGAAACCCTAAGAGCAGTTACATACAGAAATGTAGACAGCCCAGGTAATTTTACCAGATCCACTGCTGTTTCTGCTGGTGGCTGCAGCCGGATATTCCCAGTTGCCCCATTAGTTAGTTGAAAGCATCTATTATGCTTCTTTACGTATTTTAGTCATAGAAAACCACACTTCATCCATTTGATATTCTGTAAAAATAAGAACACATTTCTACATAATAATCGGTTAGTTAACTTTACCTGTAAGGCAGGAACTGTAATAAAAAGATCAAGGATGGGCTTCCCTGGTAGCGCAGCAGAAGAATCCGCCTGCCAATGCAGGGGACACGGGTTCAAGCCCTGGTCCGGGAAGATCCCACATGCCGCAGAGCAACTAAGCCTGTGCGCCACAACTACTGAGCCTGTGCTCTAGAGCCCACGAGCCACAACTACTGAGCCTGCGAGCCACAACTACTGAAGCCCGCACGCCTAGAGCCCGTGCTCCGCATCAAGAGAAGCCACCGCAGTGAGAAGCCCGCGCACCACAACTAGAGAAAGCCCGCGTGCAGCAACCAAGACCCAACGCAGCCAAAAATAAATTTAAAAAAAGAAAGATCAAGGATGATATTATTAAAATGGCAAGTTACATGACAACAGTCCTTCCTTGGCTCTCAAGAGACGTCGTCCCGGAATTCTCAAAGTTGACTTCAGGATAACCTGGAGAAGTTTGAGAGGCATGAAGACTTCGTGTGCCGCCCCTTAATCTGAGGATCTCCAAGTTCAGCACTGGTGGGCAAAAATCAGGAGCCATGCGGTCACTTGCGTATCTCAAAGATTGCACGCAAGCAAGCCTTTGCTATGACAGAGGCGGTGGGAGTCTCAACAGCAATAGGATATAGGTGAGCAGAAAGAAAAAACAGCCTTTCCCTGACTGGAAATCGAACTTGGGCTGCGGCGGTCAAATCCTAGCAACTAGACTACCAGGAAACAGGGTCAGGAGGCTGCAGTCAGCACCTTGTGGAAAAATATCTTAGGAATGATTCAGATATGTATTAGAAAACTTTCAGGGATGTCTGAAGAATGTTTTGAAGTGGTGTGTGTGGTGGTGGTGCAGTGATTGCCACCTGGGTCAAAGGGTGGAAGGGGACTTTAGTGGCAGAAAAGTTGGAAGAAAGATTGTGACAAATCAAGCCAGGCAGGAAGAGGATAATTTTTCCTACAGCATTTTTGTCACTGACTCTCTGACCACAAGGGTTTCTCTTCTTTCCTTCCTACTTTCTTTCTTCCTTCTTCCTTCCCTCCCTCCCGTACTACCTTCCTTCCTTCCATTCCTAAAATTTGTGTGCCTCTCTCCCTTCTGTAGTTTCCCCATGTTTGACTGAGGAAAACATGTCCCTTTTTGCCCTCCCTTCCCCTAAAAGGACAATATTCCTGATCTTCTCCAAATTTACCTCTCCCCAGTGCAGAGGGAGAAACATTCAGGGTCAATGGGAAATGCCCACCTGGAGCTGCACCCTTCTTCTTGGCTGTGCTGTTATTTGTGACCTGGGAATGACCTGCACAAATGCCTGAATTCTAATTAGGCTTCTTCTCCCATCAGTACTGCTGAGGTGGATTAGGCCTCCAGTGCATACAGGCAAGGATCCACAGGTGGCCAAAGGAAGGCTGTTTGCAGGGGTTTGAACAGAACTTGGACAAGGGAGGTGAGGTGCCCTTTCAGTGCAGAAAGGAGCTAGAGTTGATAGAGGGTCCTCCCTGTGCCACCATGCTTAGGTACAGAAGTGTGAGGAGTCCCATAATTCTAAATGTAAAACTGGCCTCACAGATCCTTCAGAAGGTATTTTTGTCAACGTAGGAAGAAAGATCTTATTTTATTTTACTCTTTATTAACTTAATTTATAAGTTTAAAATATTTAAACGTATGGTATGTGGGCCTCCATTTGTGCTCATTCCCACAGCTGCAGATATTAGGGCGCACTGACTCCTGTGGCTTTCCAGGCCCACCCAGGTAACAAGCTATCAGCTCCTTGCCCTGACCACCTGGATCTAAGGTCCTTCTTTCCTAAATTGAGTCATCTTTCTCCACTCCCCCCACCAGGAACCTTTTCCCGGGTCCCACCCCTAGTGAATCACAGCACCCTTGGAAATAAGCTCAGAACCTTTCCTACCCACTGTATCCATTAAGCATCAAGTCCTTTCTGTTTCATCCTCTGTGGCTTCCCCTCCAGTGAGGACAATGTCAAGTTCTTTGAGGAGTGTTTTCACCTCAGTAGCTCAAGCAGTTGCCAGGTAGTTTGAAGGTACGGGGCTAATGGGTGTGCATTTCCCTCTTAAAATTGTATTCAGGGCTTCCCTGGTGGTGCAGTGGTTGAGAGTCTGCCTGCCGATGCAGGGGACATGGGTTCGTGCCCGGGGCTGGGAGGATCCCACATGCTGCGGAGTGGCTGGGCCCGTGAGCCATGGCTGCTGAGCCTGCGCGTCCGGGACCTGTGCTCCGCAGCGAGAGGCCAAAACAGTGAGAGGCCCGCATAACACAAAAAAAAAAAAAAAAAAAAATTGTATTCAGTATCATGTTTCCAATTTTTAAAAAAGATTCCTTTAACTTGAGGAACACTCAGATTGCCTACTAGAAGTTAGGAGGGAGAAAAGGGGGCCTGTAAAGTTTCTTGGATGTTAGACTGGATGGATGGTGTGTTATTCAGGCTCTCCTAGAAACAGAACCATTAGGGGATCTGTATCTATCTATATCTATATCATCTATATTTATATCTCTATCTCTATCTATCTATATCTAGAGAGAGAGACTATAAAGAATTAGCTCATGTGGTTATGGATCTGCAGTGTGAGTTGGCAAGCTAGACAACCAGGAAAGCTGATGGTTTGGTTCTAGTTGGAGTCTGAAGGCCTGAGAACCAGGAGAGCTGATTCAAGGCTAGCAGGCTCCAGACCAAGGAAGAGCTGATGTTCCAGTCCAAGTCTGAAGGCAGGAAAACCCCAATTCTCAGTTTGAACGCAGTTAGGCAGGATGAGTTCTTTCTTACTAGGGTGAGGACAGTCTTTCTGTTCTATTCGGTCACCCAGCAGATTGGATGAGGCCCACCCACATTAGGGAGAGCAGTCTGCTTTACTCAGTCTTCTGATTGAAACGTTAATCCCATGCAAAAACATCGTCACAGAAACACTTGAAATAACATTTGACCAAATATCTGGGCAACCCATGGCTCAGTCAAGTTGACACATAAAACTAACCATCAGATGGTGACACCATTATACTAAGCACACACAGAGAGAATTGCTTTGGTTGGGTTTTAGTTTAGGATAACTGCTTTTTCAGAGCATTTTTGCTTCTGCCCTACCTGGATGTAGCGCAAAGATGCTTTCATCTGGTTGCATAAGAGGGATGAATTAAGAAAGAAAAAGTCCCTTCTGGCAGAGAAACAGCAGGGCTGGGCAATAGTAGGCTAAAACACACTCCCCTGGGAGCACTTGAACCAACAATATATTGATTTACAGTTAAACCTGCTGAGCATTGGACATCAGGGACCACATTGAATTTTTTTAAGTGAAATTCACATAACATAAAATTAACCATTTTAAAGTGAACAGTTCAGTGGCATTTAATACATTCTCAAGGTTACACAACCACCACCTCTATCTAGTCCAAAACATTTTCATCATCCAAAATAAAACTCCATATCCATTAAGCAATTATTCCCTAATACTCTCTCCTCCCAGAAACCAACGTTACCTCAAAAAATTTAAAAAGTTACAAACGTCCAGGAGTGGGATTAGAACCAATGACCTTTACACCTAATAGCCTAACACACTAACCATTTGCACCACAGAAGCCAAGGCAGCATATTCATCCTTGCAGGTTATATTCACAGATCTTTAATCAAACACCACGTTTCTCCGCTAAGATTTCCACTTCTTCACTTTCACATTGCAAGTAGGTCTGACTTGTGTGATTCTAAAAACTCAAACAAGAAATCATCCCTGCATGTGACACTAGGATCCTTACTTCCTTTCTTCCCAATTCCAGCAGGAAGCGACTGCCTCTTTCTCCCAAAGTTGAGACAGAGACACGAGTAAAACTGAATTCACTACTTGATGGAAGTGAGAATGGCTTGAGGGAATGGAGAATGGAGCGGGGGTGGGTTTTGGGCAAATAGTTCGCTGCTAATTTGAACTAATGATCCCTGCTTGGGAAGTCAGCCTGATGTCCGAATTTCAGTAAACGTCTTTGAAGCCCAGTTTCATTGCCTCTTTCTGAATTTTAAACCCAGATGCTGGGTTTATTCAAAGACATAAGTTCAATATGGCAGTGAGCTCCGAGGCTCTCCCTGAATGATTCTCAAGGAGTACCAAATACACCAACTGGAGGCAGAGCAACATCTGGGGACCTGAGAGACTGTAGGTTGAATACTCCCCCCCAATGCTACTCCTATTAACACGTAGTGATACAAAAATATTGCTGATGAGCCATGGCTCGCCATAGAGAATCACTAGTTTTTAATGAGTATCACTATAATTTTTTATTCTGAAACATGAAACCCACCTGCAAGTTACTTTGAATCAAGAAAATCAGTTTTAGTAATAAACGTAGTTACCCCGGATTCTTTGGAATTCTAAAAGCAG